GCATAATAGCATTACCATATTCTTGAAGCCGAAGTAGTTGTGAATGAACAAGAAATTTCTCCACCATGTTTTTTCACAAATGTCAGCGTGGTGTTTGACCACTAGATTCCATTGTGGACCGGAACCCAAATTTGGCAAAATTAGCGTGCAGAATAATATGATGGCACCCATTGTTGGTACTAGTCTGCAATGCCAAATGATAATTAAGAATAAATATATAACGTAAAAGTTCACATAAAATATACGTTTCATCGTACAAGAAAAATAAATATAGATGTCGGCCAACACACTTAGTATTAGTGACGGCTCGCTGGATGAGGCAATGAGGCTGTGCGCCTCACATCCGTGATAAATTRGAAGAAGAGAAAATTATTAATATTTCTTCGCGTTTTAACGATTATTTATTACTTAAAATTGTCTACAAATAGTCATTTTTTTCACAATTAGAAGGACTCGTTTTTGTGGTCGTGAACCCCTCCAACCAGGGGCGTAATTAAGGGGGGGATGAGGGGGATATATCCCCCCCAGAGCCTATATAATGTGTATATTTATATATTAGTTTGAAGCTTATGGAATTATATGTTTTATCGTGCTGACATCACGACGAAATATATTAAACATAATTAATATCAAGAAATCTATAAATTATTATTTAATTTAAAAGTAAATTTTAATTCTAATATATTCATAATTTACATTTTGAAGAAATTATTATAATATTGTATAGGTACTAAATTGTGTAGAATTTTAAAGCACATTTATTAATACATTTTGTGTACATATATATATTAGTTTAAGARTTTTTGATAAAATAGTTTTCCCAGATATTGTACTTTAAAATCTAAGTATTTTGTGCGGAAAAAAATGTTTATCCCCCCCTAAGACAAATTTCTAATTACGCCACTGCCTCCAACACCAGATTTTTACGAATTAGTTGTATATTTTATTCACCAATTTGAAACATGATGTTAAAACATGGTGCACGTATCTCTTCACTGGATAGATTAGTGAAAATATTATTATTAGACTTAGACCTCTTACGAGTTATGAATTGTRTATACTTGTATTATTTAAATACTTAATATACTCTATTCGGAATGAGATCGTTGGTACCTCGGAGGCGACCAGTTTTCATCCACGACGATCAGACGCTTCCCCCACCTAGTCCAAAAATTAATTCTTCGCTACGGAACGAAGCCACGCCCATGCGCAAGTCGACCGTCGAAGTACGTTCTCGTTACGAATAAAGTATAATTTATATAAGCCTAAAGTATTTACCAACATGCATTGTCATTTGTCATATATATATATATATATATAAACTTGACCAGACTGGTTCATCATCATCAAGTTGAAACTGTCTAAGCTATGAAATGTAGTCAGTGGTTTCGTTTTATGATGTACCAAGAAAAGATTTTCCCAAATTCATATTTTATAGAGGTCCTCAAACAAGGATTATGAGAGACACTAT